GTGTTGGCCGGAAGCATGTGAATATCCACGTTTGACAACTGCCCATCATAACGATGGGAGACGCATTGTCCAGTAGCAGCAAGACATGTCGGTTCTGTTGACGCATTGCCGTGTTGAAAGCTTCAATCCAGTGGGCTAACAATGTGCCGGTCATCCAGCCCTTCTTTGACGAGTCGTACTCGACACCCATGTCTGCCACAGTAGTTGGGCCAAAGCAACGGGGCTTCCTTGCATTTCCAATAAAGAGCAGCGGCCACTTGGACGAACCATCAGCATTGCTTGTCACCGCAACCGTGATCCGTTTCTTGACCTTCTTTCGCCCAGGAATGCCTTTTGTGCATACGGTCTTCGATGGGGTGGAACAGTAAAAGTACGCGGTCTCGTCGAGATTGTAAATGTCGCGCTTGTCGTAGCCGGATGTGACTGCCAGCAGGCTCCGTCTACCGTCTTCGACGGTACGCTCGCTTGCAGAGGCCGCTTCCCCATACACTCGGTGATGACTTGGGAGGGTCGCGTGAGAGGTTGAACGATTTGCGTGCCCATTGGCGCAGCGCGAGCCCTTTGACATGTGGATTTGCCACGTAGTATTCCACCAGAACCCACTTCTGCTCGATTGTCAGCCGAATCCGGGAAGTTGGTCATGGCATGTGATCGTCAGGTGGTTTGTGTCTGTTTCAAAATTCGAAAGGCCTCTACAATTTTATTGCTGGTTGCCTGACATGCATATAAATTTTGTGGGGTATAATGTTTTATTGGGTTCACTATCGCAGGGCACTACTTTCGAACTTGTTGATCTATAGAGCTGTTTTTGACCCAGAGTCTACTAAGTATTGAAGGTCACTTTCAACATGTTGCCAGCGACTCTTCCGACAAGTTGCTTGCCCATTCGGCTAGATAGCACAACGGTGCCAAATCGTTCTTCATGCTACCAAGTCCTTCCTCTGCGTGTGCCCTGCCTCCACAGCGACCATGCATGAGCACATGCATACTGGATCGATCCTGCTTGTTTGCGGGCATGTGTCGTGCACAGCAACGCGTGACATGATAGACGCGATGGGACACAGGTCCAACATGAATGGACATTTTCAATACGCAACACTTATGCAATCCCATGTCTCAAGCACACATCAAGGGAGTAAACCACCCGCGACACACATGAGGACTCCTTTGTCCAGGCGATGGGATGGGGGGTCGAGGGAGTGTTCAAAGCAGCAGCGCTTGGTAGCCCTCGTCGACGTCGACACCCTCGGCCATCTTGGCTTGACGCTTAGTCGCCGCGACTGCGACGGCCACCATGACGCCACCCACGACAGCCAGCATCGCAACGGACGACGTCGCGATGGGTTCGGACGAGGCCATCAAGGCAAGCACGCTTGGCGATCCCGCCGCCGGTCCCTCGCACCGCTTGATCGACTTGTCCGACTTGAGCGCTGTGCACGTCACCTTGCTCTTTTCGTCGGGGGAGTTGCAGCAGCTCAAATCCGCTTCTGGTTCAAGCACGACAGTCTTCGCCGCTCCATCGGCGGTCGTCGAGTACACGAGCGTTCCGCCGCACGCCTGGAACGGCGCTTGGACGAGCGGCGCCGTCTTCCCGCCAAAGTCGTTCCACGTGTTCGTACACGTGTCCTTGATGTACTGACCGTATCCATAGACCGAGTCTTGGTTGAATCGCGGGTAGTCGCAGTTGCGGAGCGTCACGACCTGCTTGCGGTGGCGCGTGGTGACGGCAGCGCCTGGCGCGTTCGATTGAAAGGTCAACTTGCACTGGGCCGTGGCGGTCGTCGTCGGCGCGTTCTCGAGCTTGACGGCAATTGCGACTTCCAGTCTCTCATCGCTCGACGTCTTGATCCACGACGTCGATTCCTTCGTGTTGTCGTATTGCCACGTGCAGTCAAAGCCCTTGAACTTCCACTGGATGCGGTGCTCGACGTCGTCAAGCGCCATGTTCGCCGCCGCATCCAAATCTGGCCCCGAGTTGCTGTCCGACTCATCGTCGTCGTCGTCGCCATACTTTTTGCGGCAGTACTCATACAAAACGTCGCCTTCGGCGCGGCGGTCATGGCACTCTTGCTTGGAAATTGCCGTGTTGCATTCGGTGTACCAAGACCAGCACCCACCCCAGCACTTTTCCGCGTCGCCATGGCCGTTTTTGACGTAGCATCGCTTGAGTGGATGACCGTTCTTGTCATTGGGGATGGCAGGGACGTCGGGGTGGAGCATGCTCTGGAACGGCTCCGACGTCGGGTCGTGCTTGAATTGAATCACTCCAAAGTCCGAGTCCTGCTCGTTGCATCCGGGCGTCGGGCTCGTCCAGAGCGTGCGGAACCACTGGTCCGCGCTCAGGATCTCGTGGCGGTGGACGAAGATCGTCCACATCTCTTCCAGGATCGTCCCGCAGTTCGTGAACGCCTCGATGTACAGCTTCGAGTTGTACTGGCGAAATGGCAACGCGGCCTTGTCCTTCGTGATCTGGACCCAGTTGCCGCCGTTCACCTTGGCGCGCCAAAACACAACATCCGACGCGGCGGCCTTGAACTCATTCTTGTACCCCTTGAGCAGCCCCACAACGCTCTCGTGCGTGCCGAGCTCGCTCGAGAACTTAAAGACCTTGTTCAAGTCGACTTCAAAGTCGCAGAACGTGTCAAACTTTAAGTCGTGGCTGTCGCACTTGGCGTCAAAGTACAGCGTCTTGTCGGCTTTGTCCAAACCCGTGCCGGGAAACACGCTCTGGGGGTCGTCCATGTACACGGGATTTTCGGCTTTCAGCGCAATCGACGCCGTCGCGAGCGACGTCGCTTGGAGCTGCAACTCATGCACGAACCTGCACATTTCGGATTCGTCGCCGACGCATGATTTTCGGCCAAATTCGACTTGGCGCGGGTACTTGGAGACGTCGGCGGCGCACGTGTACTTGGTGTACCATTCCTTAAGCCAGACGCCGTAGCCGCACGTGCGCGTGCATGTCGGGTGCGTCGGCCGCTGAAAGTACGGGTCCTTGGTGAGCGACCGCCACTCGACTGCCGTGAACCCTTGCGACAAGCACGTTGTCACATCGACCAGCGGATCCGACACGTCTTTGCTGTCCGCCTTGGTGTCCCCCGCAAGTTCATCGGACCAGCTCGTCTCGTCGAGAAAGTCACCAAACTGCATGGACACAGAGTCGCAACGGTTCGAGCTACACGCGTTGTTGGTCGCGCCCGTGCGATACGCGACCAACGCCTCTGCTTCCTTCTTGAACGCCGCGAGGTCCGCGACGTAAGTTCCTCGGATGACGTTCATACTGGAGCAACTCGCGGGCTTGGTGCCAGTCGGCCGCTGCTCGTCGTTGACGGCAATGCACGTCGGGCACACAGCAGGCTTGCCGATCGGCGTGTCGTAGTCGTACGCGCGCACCTCGACAAAGTACGTCCCAGGCACATGGCTGCCACCATTGGACCCAACCATGCCGTAGAGGAGCGAGGGGGCGTTCGTCTCAAAGTCCTTGTAGTCAAACTTGTTTGACGATCTCGTGAGCGTGTAGGTGTCCTCAGTGTCGGCCATGACATGGACTTCGATGCGGGGAACCTTCTCCGCGACAGTGAGCGCCGCATCCAGGTCGTAGTTGTAGCTGCTTCGTGGGTACGGAAAGGACAAGCCGGTGGTGTCGGCAAAGAGGTTGGGGAAGCATTGCGTCGCCGACTGGGTAAAGCCGTTCGTGTTGGGGGGGAAAGCGCCCTGGATGTCAAACAAAAACTGGTTCAACCCAGACGTGTCGGCTGGATTCTTCCAAACGCACGCCTTGGTCGAGGGAGGCCTGCCTTTGGGGTCGTCCTCGGGCAAGAACATTTCGGCGGCGAGGTCAGGCGCTGACGGCACGACACCGTCAGCACCTTTCATCATCCATTGGATGCGGGCATGGGCCACGCCGACCAACGCCGTCGACAGCGCAAAGCGATACATTTGTGGGTGACCTGCTTGAGGCGAAATCGAAAGTGGCCTCCACGGGCGGAACGGGCGACCGCGACTGTTGGGGCCTGTCGAAGAGGAGCTCACTGTTTCACCGGGCGTTTTTGTATCGATGGATTGGAATCGCCCCAAGTCCCCCCCCTGTCAGGATTCGCGAGGTCGACCTCGGCCGCCACATGCCGCGTAGCAGTAGGTGAAGCCGAAATTGGCGAGCTGTCGACGTTCGGCTTGCCAAGATTGCGCTGTGCTCCGTCCTTCCCATGCGATCGTTTTCCCTCGACGCGACGCTTGGCCCTTCAATCAAAACCGCCATTCACTGCATTCAATCACGCTGCACTTTTGTGCGACCCTTGAATGATCCCCGGTGGTTCGCAGCATACCAGCGCGCCGAAGTGCATCGATCTGTAGCAGCGATCCATCCTCGCGTGCATGCGCAGGCACCCGGCAAGGCATGGTCGCGACAGGATGGAAGGTGCGCCGTTGCATGCGAATGGAGGTCATGCTGAAGACCAGTACACTCTGTACGGCAAGTGCCCGTGAAACGCCGTCATACGTTGTAGACATGTGACCGTTCGACGTTGTTTGGGTTCGCTTTTGCCGTACGCGATGGTTTTTACTGGACCCGACGGCTGCGGAAACCGCTCGAACCAAGCACGACCCCACTCGAGGAGGTGATAGCTACTCACTTCACGGATGACGTCGTTACCCTGATGCCTGTACGTCGTGGAAGTAAAGTGCTCCTTCCCGTGCGCTGTTGTCAGTGGTTGCCGAGGTTTCGACCGATTCTAGAAGAACGCACGCTGTGCCGACGACTTTGTTGGATGTTTAAACGCATGGCAGGTTGCCATTTCAAACTAGGTGCGCCGTACACCTTTATATCAGCGCACGCAAACGACTGTGTCGACGTGGACGCTTGTCCTTCCGAACGGCACGTTTTCCCACAATTTGAAAAATATCGTGCGGGCTCGCTGACTTGAAAGCATCATCAGCCCAGCGTCAACCATCGGGGTCTCCACGCTGCATCCTCTCGTGAGCTCGACAAAGTAGCCTATGCGAACTGGCGCAGCAACGACGCGCGTACCTTCGCGACGTAAAGCCCCCCCCCCGCCGTCCCAACAGGAATGCGCTAGGACGTCATCGTGGCGGATGAGAGGCAAATCCCGCTGACAGTTGACTCGTGTGAAAGTGGCATTTCAGCATGTGACGTTTCCCGTCCAAGTTGAAGGCACCCAAAGATATCGTACGTCCGCGAATGTACGACGTTGTACGTCCATTCCCTTCGACAGATTGCCATAATAGGGTACAGCGGATGTAATGTGGCCAAGAACGGGTTGTGTTGGTGTTGTCGTCGGTCAACGTATCCGGATGCCATCCGGATATTCGGAAAGGCAAGACGAACGAGTAGCATTTGTCACGTTACACGCGAATTATTTTTCGTGACAAATTTATATTGGATATTTGTATATGAAATTCGGGCTTGTAAAAGAATTTTGGTTGGGACATCCGCCTGGCGCTCATTTTGCAAATCTCCGGCGGCACCACGGAACCGACGATGGCCGGCAGCAACTCGACGGAAGGATGGGTCGACGTCCAGAAGAACACATTTACGCGGGTAGGATGCAGGACACGATGCGCCATGAAGGAAGGGCTTGATGGAATGTGCTGATGTAGTGGGCGAACTCGCATCTGTCGAAAAAGCGCATGGAGATTGACGACCTGTACGAAGATCTCAAGGACGGTTTGCGCTTGATAGCCCTTTTACAGATTGTGTCTCGGCAACCTGTTGCCGCGGTATGTACAAACTAGCGATGGAAGGAATGCCGAGCGTGCAAGAAGAGAACGAGTTGGATCTCATGGTGGCCACGTTTTGTGTAGAAATACAACCGCAACCCGAAGATGCGCATTCAAAAGCTGGAAAATCTAAACTTGATCTTTGGCTTCATGGCGAAGAACAACATGACGATCACCAACATCGGGTCGTCGGACATTGTGGACGGCAACAGCAAGCTTGTGTTGGGGTACGTGACGTTGAGATGTATTTGCTGTCCACAAATTGATCTTGATGGTGACCACACACTAGCTTGATGTGGACGATTATCAAGAGTTACCAAGTTGGAGAAATCGCTGTCGACGGTGTGTCTGGCAAGGACGGACTCCTCTTGTGGGTCAAGCGATCGCTGACTGACTACCCCACCGTGGACGTGACCAACTTTACCTCAAGCTGGGCGAACGGCATGGCGTTTTGCGCGCTCATTCACAAGCACTACCCGACGGTAATCGATTTCGACAGCTTGTCCCCTGACAACGCTACGGAAAATGTTACCCTTGGTACGTTCACGTCGATCACACGTCGATATAACGATTGCTCACCCTCTGCCTCATTCGTAGCATTCAACTTGATGGAAGCCAAGTTTGGTATTCCCCAATTGCTCAACGTGGGCGATGTGGCTGGCAACCCCAAGCCCGATGACAAATCCATCATGACCTACGTGTCCCTGTTGTTCCAGGTGCCGCAACACACATCGACGCGAGTGTTCTGAAATGGGATTGTTTGCAGGAATTTGCGTCGGGGGTGCAAAAGAAGAAGGCCATCACGACAATTTGCAAGGCCGTGGCCATGGCCCAGCGCATTTCCGAGTGCAGAACTCAATACGAGACGTCCGCACCGACGCTCTTGGCATGGTACTCGGAAAAATGCCAAGCATGGACGGCTCCTGAACCAACTGCGTCGTTGAAGACGGGTACGGTGTCCCAAGCATGGTGGAAATGGATGCGAATGACGTCGTTTATTAGTTCAAGCGATGTTGCACCAATTCAACGAGTACAAGCGCAACGAACGACCCGAGTACGAAGCGTCGTTTGTCGAACTCGAAAGTACGGAGCATCCCGTCCCTGCCACACCGGTGTGCTTTTATGAAACTCAGGGGCACGTTGTATCCTGGTAGGTGTGATGGGTCGGTGGGTGGCGAGCTGCAAAAACAACCACCGCGACATCCCCAAGATGCATCCTTCCTTCGACTCGATCGCGCTCTTGCGCAAGCAGCTGCAAGAAGTCGAGGTCCAGTACGAGACAGCATGCCGGTCGCACATTTTGCAATGCCAGCATACTGGTGTGTTTGAACGCTGGACAGATACCTCGTCGGCGACCTCATCGTGTTGACTCTAGACGCGACGTTGAACTCGGTGCTGCTGGACTTGACGAAGCTGGAAGGCTGGCTCGACAAAGTGAACCAGGACTTTCCCGAAGAAACCGACAAGCCCGTCACCAACTCGGCCGATGCGGAAGAAGCGCTGGAAAGCATGCGCTTTTTCCACGAAGTCGAAGTCGGCCGATACCAGCAGCTCCTGACCCGCGTCGAAGTGGCCGTCGAAACCAAACTGGCGGGACAAACCACTGCCGTCGACGCGATTGCCCGCGTGGAAACGACCCGCGCAACGTTTGCGGTCACGTTGACGCGCATGCAAACGCTGCAAGAACGCATGAAGGACATGCTTGCGCACCAGCATCAAGTCGACGCTGTCGTGAAAGCCATGCGCTTGACGATCAAAACCCTCAAGAACGAAATCGAAATGCTCGATGAAAAGATCGACGCCCACAACGTGCATGCCGCCGTCGACGACTCGAGTGACCAAGAAGCCGCATTGACTGCGATGAAAGACGCGTTTTCGGCGGACGTGGCGCCGCTGGTCGAAGCCAACGTCGTGTCCGTGTACACTGCCGAGCTCGAATCCAAGCGCGACACGTTGGTCCGTGCCCATCGCGACACTGAATTGCAAACCCTCGACGCGTTCGCCCGGCGCGTCGATCGATTGATTGCAAAGCGCGATGCCAAGGTCGCCGAACTCGACCAGGCCGTCACCGACGCGCACCGTCGGGTGACGTTAAGCGTCGACTTTGCCAAGCTGGCCACGACCATGGTTGAGCACGCAGCGTCGATTTCAAACCAGGTGGGTTGGCCATGGGCAAGTGCCGTTTGTGACTCGAGTTTGTAGATCAATGCGGTCGACGGTTCCCTCGACGAGCAATTGGCGGCTCTCGTCGCGCTGGACACGACCGAAATGCACACCAAGGACGACCCGGCGCACTTGTGTGCAATCATGGACGAACTCGAAGTCGTCAACGAATCGCTCGAGTCGTTGCGCGTGTTTTCAAACCCGCACACGACCGAAACAATCCAGTCGTGCCGGGCCACGTTTGCATCGCTCCAGCAAGCGTTGATGGAGCGCCAGCAAGAACTGGAAAAGGAAATCGCGATGGACAAACTCGGCCACATCACGCCGGCGCAGCTCAACGAAGTCCAAGAAGTGTTCAACCACTTTGACTTGGACAAGGACGGCAAGTTGGCGCGCGACGAATTCATCATGGCGTGCAAGGGCCTTGGCTTTGACATGTCGGAGGAATCGTGCCACGACATGTTTGACAAACTCGACACGGACAAGAGCGACGAAATCGACTTGCGCGAGTTCAGCACGTTCTGTGCCGACCAGCTCCAGTCGGGGTCGACGCAGACCGACGTCCTCGCCGCATTTGAGATCTTGGCGCGGGACATGGCGATCACGCAAGACAAGCTGCACGAACACTTTGACGCGACCGTTCTCGAGTACCTCCTCAAGCACATGCCGCACATGATGCCGTCCAAGACGGAAGACAGCGACGACATCGCGATTCCCGACAAGTACGACTACAATGCGTTTGCGGCCGCTTTGTTCCAGTAGAGCTTCGACCCGTCAAAGGCATAAAGGTTGCTAGTTGCGACGATGGTACTACACAAAAACAACGAGAACGACGAGCTTGAATTTTCGTCCGAAGTCTTTCGTGCATGGCATCTATTGAAACCCGCGGCGTTCGAGGTCATCGCGGCCTTCTTCCTTGCCGACAACCACAGCGCGCCGCACGACCGTCTCGTTGGCCAAATGCGTCGCTGCGACGCGCATGAGATCCGCGCGGGTGACTTGGAGCAGTTGCGACCGACGCACTTGCAGCATGTCGTACGTAAAGCCCCTCGTAAAGAGTCCTTTGCCCTGATGCGAAACCACCATTGCATGACGACGACACACGGCGGCAATTCCAAAAAATACCTTGGCAGACGGGGCCTGCGGCGCATCGATGCCCGAAAACGTCGCGAGCAGCGCTTGGTTCACGTCCGCGTCGGTAAACTTGCCGTCGACAGCGTACCGCACCGCGTCTTCGTACGCTTCAAACGTTTGGGTCGTGTGCGGGTCAAAGTACGAACTCATCGTAAACACTCCCTCGCCCTACCGTCGTCGTCAGCCCACCAAAACGAGTGCATGAACGACTCAACTCGCCACACACGATGCCGAAGCCCTCGTTGAATTTCAACGGCACGGATTGCAATCGACTGAAAAGATTTTCACTCGACCAACACGTGCGGGCCGTGTGCGTCATGGTCGGCATAGAACATGCCCGCGAATGCGACGCGGATTTCAAACTGCATCCACCCAGACGAATGCCGAAAATCGAGTCGATACATACCTGAGCAGCGCTGCAGCCGTATGCCCCGCCCCGCTCCCGGACGTGCTGATGCAAGTGGCACGACGACAGCACTTGGCCCAAGACCGACAGTGGCGCGTGGTCCGCATGAAACAACGGAACGCTTGCAAACGACAGCACGTTAAAGTTGACCGCGATGGGGTATCCAAAGAAGGCCTTGTCTGGTACGACGGCAGCGTCCGGGCCGGTGGGCAGTCCCAACGCCGCGACGACGTCGTCGAGCTTGAAATGTGCGTCTGAAGAAAGTTGCCACGTCATGTTGGCCAGGTGGGTGTCGACTTGGTTGATCAAGGACGGCTCCGTCACAACACTGAGTTGCATGCGGTGTCGGCGAAAGCAAATTCCGGCCAGGTGGCGAAAGATCGACGCGAGCGCTTCCAACGCCGCCGGGTCCGCTTCGACGGCATCGACCCAACGCTGCAGCGCGTCCATCGATGTCAATCCACGGGCTCGTTCGGACAACACGGCGTGGGACGTCATTCCCAATTGAGCGCGGTACCCAGCCAAGGCATGGCCGCTGGACGCGATGCTGGCATTCGCCGACGCCGACGCACTCACAAGAAGCGATTTGATCTGCTGCAAGTTGTCCGGCGACGTGTATTGCGTGTCCGAGAAGAGTTGCTCGAGCAACGACAGCGTCGACGAGATATGGTGCGGTAGACACAGCGATTCCACGACAAGCGACTCGGCATGCGCGTCGATGTCATGCGTGTCTGACAAGCAAATGTCAGCACGATAACCCATCCTTGACAACTTTGGTGTGCTCACCCGGCAGGATCAAGTGACTACAGCTGACGCCGCCACTGACGGTCTGCAACACTGTGCCAATGTCGTAGAATGCGTGTTTGGACGTCCCGAGTTGCCCCAGCATCGCTGAAAACAACGGGAGGAACCAGCGGAGGTCGGATGGGACGTCTGCCGTGTCAAACTTCATGCGAATGTACCTAGAAATTCCATGCTTGCCGCAAGACGCATCGAGGACGGGCGTACGTGATTTCGTTGGTCGTTTGCGGCACAAACTGCGCGCCAGTGTCCGCTGACGTTGATACGTCCAGCCGCGGCTGCAAGCGCGGAATGTCTTGCACCGTCAAGGTCGGGAGGCAGTCGACGTTGGGCACTTGCTGTTGATGTTCTGCCAACACCTTTGCTTGGGACGCGATGGCGTTTTTGTCGTCGTCCGACAAGTTGGCAGCCATCTCGTCCAATGTACGACGCTCTTTGGCTTCTTGCTCCGACACGAACGACGTGGACGGGGTCATGAGGAGCGCGACGCTCGTGGCCAAGTGAGGCTGCACAATGTACTTGTCCAGCATGTCTTGAAGGTATCGTGGGTTGGCCGCCATCTAACAAAGACGTGGATGCCTCGATCGACCGTGGTAGGGGGCAGGCACACGTACTTCGTTGTGAAATCGATCCAACACTGGGTTGATCGACAGGTTGTCCAGGTAGTCGCCACGGTGACACCAAGTGCTCGTCACGGCGCGCAACAGGGACATGCCAAAACGACCGACAATGTGCTTCTGGCTCAACTCGATCTACGAGCGCTGGTAAACACGGACAAGTGTCAAAGGCAGAGAGACGTACTTGATGCAAGACAGCGTCGATTCGAGCTTGGTCAAATCCATCTCGCACAACGTCCTTCAACGTTGCGTCGATCGTGGCCTTGATCGTGTCGAGGTCATCAAAGCCTACCCCCCCATCATGTTTCACACAATCGTCGAGCGCCACAACAAACACGTCACACAGGCAAGAGGATGAAAGCACACAAGGCAGCGAGACACGGGCAGTTCAGGGCGGAGTTTGAAACCCAAGGTTGAGAAACACGTTTCACTCGAGCGGACCAGCATGCGCGATCCATTCATGCATACCTTCGACTCCCACCCCAAACGACGGGTTCAGAGTCGACGTGTCCAAGCCCGTGCCGGCGGCAAAGTCGACGGCCAGCTCGGACGTGATGAGTGCTTGGTAGAGTGGCGCCGACGGGCCGTTTAAGAGCAAGTACGACAGGAGCCGAAGCACAAAGCACTCGAACGAGTCTGTGCTGAGCAAGCCAGGCACAATGTGGGCGCGGCACCACTTGGTTTGGGACGCGGCCGTGGGGCTAACTCCTACACGTTTGCGTGAGATGCGTGCTATCGACGTTGCACTGAGTAACCCAAAACTGTCAGCCCACAGGTCGTCGATTCAACTCGCGTACCGTCATCGGGACCGGTGATGTGGCGCTCAGAAGAGGTCGGCGCGACGCCCTCAGGGAGTGGACTAATTATTACCGGCGGGACAGAGTCCGATGCGTCGAACTGGGACAGCACCGTCTTGTCGATCGTTTCCAAGTGGTCCTCCAGCGCAAAGTTCCCGTACGAGTAAAACAAGCAGTTGGACGGATGGTACTTGGACCGGTGGAACGCGACCAACTCGTCGTACGTGAGCGATGTCAAGTCGGTGGAAGGATCGCCGCCGCTCAGGTGCTGGTAGATTGTGCCTTGCATGAGATCTTGTTGCAACCGCGTCGAAAAAAGGTTCTGGCTGTCGGACATGACCCCTTTCATCTCGTTCAGCACAACCCCTTTGAACTGGAGCGTCGAATTATCATCACTCCACTCGACGCGATGGCCTTCCTGGGAGAAATCCAACGGGTGCAACGTCGGGAAGAAGACAGCGTCCAAGTACACGCCCAGGAGGTTCTCAAAGTCCTTGGCATTTGTCGTCGCAAACGGATACATCGTGTGATCGTTGGCAGTCATCGCGTTCATGAAGTTGTTTAAACTGCGCTTGAGCATGTTGAAGAACGGGTCACGCACCGGGTAGCGCTTCGAGCCGCATAGCACAAGGTGTTCCAGCTGAATACGACAGAATGCATGAAATGCATGAAGAAAGAGGGTGGACTGGACGAATCGAATGACGTACAATGTGTGCAATGCCGTTCGACGAGTATGGCGGCGTCCGAAAGTTGATACTACATGTGCACATAACATACAACGATCCCGGCACAAGTGGGAAGAAGGTTCATCCCCGTCAAAGACGATAGCACGCGCGAAATGGTGCATTATGTCTTACCTGAAGACATTGTTTGAATCCACAGTGTCGATGTGGAGGTACTCTGCTTTCGTCGCAACATGCTGGAGTTGCACCGCGGTCACCGAGTACTCTGGGACAAGTTGCTTCTTGAGTACTTCAAACCCGTGGATCACCGATCCAACTTCGTATCGTTGGGTCGATGGTGCTGCTAGCGAGGATGGCGGTGTTGACAGAAAGCGGCGCCGAAATGTCGCCTTCAACGTCGTCGCCGCTGCGGGCCGGTGTTTGATGGCGCGCCACATTCTTCGAATAAGCGAGTGGTCGAGTCCAACTCAAAACGTCTTGGGAAAATACCCAAACTGCCCATGAAGCGGTGGCCACGAAGGAAATTTCCTAAGGAAATATCCAAATTGTGTCCAATGTAATAGATAATTCATTTCTCATTTATTAGGTGTTCAAACGATTGTCGAATAAATTGTCTTACTTCGACCATTGGTTGGAGCAAACTGAATAAATGATTTCTTTAAAGTTGGTGTCCCCATGGATTTTTGTGTGTTTACGTTGAACGGCATTTCGACGTTTGCGCCGCCGATCCAAGATGCTCAAGGAAGAAGATCCATTGATTGAACTCATCCGGGAATGGATCATGGCGCCAATTGACGAGTCTGCGGGGCTGCAGCTGTCGACACTGGAAGTGTTTGCGCTGGTCGAGGACATGATCAACGAACACGTCGCGTCACCGCAAGGTTCTCGCTTGAAAAAGTACATCCCCAAGGTCAAGCGGATGTTCATGCGCATCAACCTCATGGACGCCGTGCACGCGTACGATGCAGTGACGCACTTTTCACGACGCAAACGGGTACCTCCGACCTTCAAGGATGTTCGACACATTCTCAACCTCGCCACGGTATGGAGAATGTGGATGCTCCTTGCTTGTTTCTTGATGGTTTTTGCACAGATTCGTGCAATTGCACCAACTCTAAAGCTTGTGACGTTTGATGCCGATGACACGATCTACGCTGACGGCGGGTCCATCAGGTACAGACTTGTGTGCTACATCTGTGATTGTCGAGAGGTTGATTCATTTCGTGGATGGGACAGTGAATCGTCGGATATGGTGACTGTGATCGTCGAGTTGCTGAAGAAGGGATTGGTCGTGTCGTTGGTCACAGCAGCAGGGTATCCAGGCGAGCCGCAGCGATATGAAGCGCGACTTCGTGGGGTAGGTCCGTCGTCCGATTCCGCAAGTGAAAGCGAATTCCATGCCAACAAATGTTTATTGCAGATTCTCGACGCATTGGCCAAGTTGCCTGATGAATGCCAGGCGCGATTCTTGGTACAATCTCATGGAAGGACGCTTTGATTCTCATTGTGCCTCGTTGCTTTGTGTCAGGTGATGGGTGGGGAATGCAACTACCTCCATGTGACATCGCGAGACGTGGAGACTGGAGTGGTGTCGTTGCGTGTGGTGGATCCCGCGGAATGGAAAGATGGGCGCGGACAGCGTTGGGACCAATTCGAAGTTGACCAGCTGCTGGATTTGGCACAGGTGAGTTGATCTTTGGCATGCCTTGCTGGATTACCATGCCGTGCCTTTGCATGCCATTGTGACTGGAAACTGTGAGAAAAAGTCCAAAGTTTTCGGTCCGACATGGATTCGTATTGTCCAGCGATGTGGACACATTCGTTGGTGTGCATAGTTTCTTGCCTTGACTGATCTTGTGTTTGCCCAGTCGACATTGGAAGAGATGGTGGCGTTGCTGGACATGCCGGCCAAGATTCTCCGAAAGGAACGTGCCGTGGGGATTTACAACCCCACGGACAAACGCTTCGTGTACGAGAACTTGGAAGAAATTGCGCTGACCGTGCAGCATGTCCTTCGACACTCCACGATTCCGCATTGCGCGTTCAACGGCGGGAACGACGTGTGGGTAGACATTGGCAACAAGGCCCTGGGCATCTCGGCCCTCCAACACTACGTGGTGCGACTGGTCGCTGGCTCCAAGGTTCGAGCGTCGATCGTACGGTGCCTTGGTGGATCCAAATGGGAAAAAAACTTGTAGGAACTGGAGGGTTTTGAGTGCCTTCATGTAGGCGATCGATTCACGCGCACCGGTTGGTTTCATGCAAAGCTGGCAACAGCAGTGCACTGACGGATCTCGTGATGCAGGGAACGACACACTGTCACGAGATGTGGCGTCGACGGTGTGGGTGTCTAACCCCGAGGAAACAGCAGTCCTCGTCAAGATGCTCCTCCCCTTGCTCTGAAGCTACGCCGCGCCATTGCGACATTATTCCAGGTACCTGACCCGTCGCATGGCTTTACTTCGCAGGGGATCCATTAAATATAAAAACACACGATCCCATGAAAAAAGACATCACGTGCTTTCAAACCCGACGGATGGGGAGGCGCCTCGGCGCGTGTGCTCTTCTCTCCTGGCCGGCACGATCCTTCAGGCACGAGCTGAAGATCACCAGACTCTACCGAGCTCTGTGGCGGAAGGCAGCGGCGAGAGAACGGGCTGTGGTCGATCCGACGAGGGTGCAGCGCAACAAAGCAATCCACGAGCACAGTACGCCTTGTGACGGAAGCCCCCACCACCACGAACACGGCTCCGTCGGAATTTCTTCAACAAGTTCATCGGTGTCGAGTGGCCAAGCGGTTGCAGGGGCCGCCCAAGTCGAGCCGAATACGGATCGATTCGATGGCGCAGCTGGAATGTCCAGAGGTCGCTGGCGAAACAAGTCAACGGAACGTAGCGTTCCTATGGGTGTCGATACGATCGTGCCACCTACAAAAGAGCGAGCGCAGTCGACACCTTGCTTGTCTCTTGGCAAGGGCCAGTGCCGTCGACTTCAACTTCCTCCGTCGTTTGGTATCTATATCCACCGACAAGCGTCGCAACACCAAGCTCCCCCGCCTGGTACAACATCTCGACAGGGATCGCTCTGGCTACGATCACGTTGGGGCACGTCCTGGCCATGTCGATGCCGCTGGGCCGCCCCCTCTTCAAAGCACCCACCAGGTTCGTCTTCAACTTTTCGCGAGTCCACCGCATCGTGTCCTCCGGCTGCGTGCTCAGACATCGTTCCAGAACACTCGGCACATGGGTGCGTGTGGTTGACGGGCCATGGACATTTCAATCATGTGAAATTACAACCGCACGAGCTTCGGGTTGCCGAGACGTTCCCCGGCGACGTAATGGTCGTTTCCATCCACGCCGCGACCGACCGTGTTCAGCCACCCATCACCAGCGTCTACAACGTCGGGGACGCGTGGTGGCGGCAAATGGGATGCCTAGCGACTGGTTCCAGCAGCAGCAAAGCGTTCTTGGTTGAAGTAGAATGATGGCCTGGCGAATCTTGCGCAGCCAATACAGCGGAAACGATCGAAATTTTACGTACGGTAGCTGAACCACTCGTGTCAAGCCCATCGCAACGACGACCGTGGCGCCGGTCTGCCTGCCCACTCGGTTGGAGCGACCCAGGCTCGGAAGTTCAACTTTCACGGCATAGTGCCACGTCACAGCTGGACCTGTGGCCGAGGCTCGACACAGCCGTCGCCGACGCGGGGCCGTGCGTGCGATTCGATATTTACGCCGGTGCTGGCCATTCCTTCGGCCGACAACTGCCGCCGCCGCCACCACGACGACGCACCGCTGCCTCCATGCCACCGCCGCCCGTACATCGTATCAAGCTACCGCAAGATCTGTAACGATGATCCGGGGTCCGATTTCCGCCAATCCGGATGCATGTTGAAACGAACGAGCCAATCCAATCGCGCGAATCCTGGAAACAGCATCCACGAGGTAGTAATGGCGCAGCCCCACGCGTACCTGGCAGAGCCTGCGACGGTCGTCGGCCCGGAACCGCCCTGAACTCCTCGTGTTTGGACATCTGCACCACTCGACGTTGGGCGTTGACTGGACTGCGCTCATTTCACCATGTTTTGGCAGGTAGGATGGGCATCCGACCAGTCTAGACCAAGCCGACTGGGCGTGTAGAGTGCAGAGAAGAAGCTGTTTGCCGCTATTGCCAAAGGCAAGGAGGCCAAGACTCGAAAGTACATAGCCAAGTGCGACCCGAACATCGTGAACGAGGTAGCACGGCAACGATCCATGATCAACTGACGTGGCGAGCCCAGGACGGTTGGACCCCGTTGCACGCATCGAGCCACCATGGCCACGTCGACATCACAAACTACCTCGTCAACTTGAACAATGCCGACGTCGACCTCAGAGACGACGTACGTGACCATGCTATGTTCCTCCTGTCCGAGATGTCGTCGAGTAGAAAGGTCGCACGCCGCTCTACTTGGCGAGTGAAGCTGGCCATGCCCAAGTCGTCCAGCTTCTACTAGAGAGCACGGTCAAAGCAAAGCCGGACATCGCGACCGACGTACGTTCCGTGTGTCGGTAGGTCGTGCAAACGTGGCTAACGACTTCGAAAATCGCGCAGGGAGGCATGGGGCCATTGCACGTTGCGTGCTGGCACGGACATTTGAAAGTCGTCAAGGTCTTGGTTGCCGCAAAGTGCAACATCAACCTTCCTGCATGTGTACGCCGCCCGCAGCGATTCTTGAGGCGAGGCTGACACGGACATCGTGTAGCTCGGCTCGACGCCGCTCGACATGGCGGCGTCTCGGGGCCAACTCGACGTCGTACAATTCCTCGTCCAGAATAAAGTCAACGTCCTAGCGCTGAACAATGTACACACAGCATCGTGTGGCCGCGAGCGAGCATGCCTCTCATCATGGCCTGTATTCGGTGTAGAACGGGTGGACGGCGCTGCACACCGCGAGCTGGTGGGGTCACGTCGACGTCGTGCGGTACCTCATGCAAATCTGCGACCCATCCCAAAAGACACACGTGCGTCGTGCCCCATCGATTTTGACGTCGATGGCCTCTGACCTATTGTCGTTAGGCCGGGAATACCGCGCTGGATTTGGCTGTCGAACACCGGCGACACGATGTCGTGAGCGTATTGCAAGCGAAGGAAGACTCTCAACTCGTACGTGCCCCCGAATGTCCTCGCGCCGAGCGCTGACTTGGTTGACCTCTCCTGCAGTCCCTCTTTGATGCGGCAAGGCTCGGACGTGTGTACTTAGTTCGAAAACTCCTGCACACGGCAAGCCAGCTAAACGAGGTTCGGACGACAAGCCCCATGACACGGCTTGGTCGACTACATGGTTTGGGGTTTTGATGGATAGAATGGATGGACAGCGTTGCACGTGGCATGCGCAAACGGTCATGTGGATGTCGTCGCGGTGCTCCATCGAAGCATCGACATCAACGCGCAAACCAAGGCACGCTTCTCGACGCTCATCGAGCAGCACGTTGAACTCGACCCCCTTGTCTCGATAGGACGGCGCGACTCCGCTATATGTCGCCGCCGGCAATGGCCACTTGAATGTGGTGCAGGCGCTCGTCACCAAGCTGGCCGCTGCCGTCTCGCTCGGGCCAGCGGTACGACACACGATGGAGTTGGTATTCCGTGAGCTCAATGGACTGCGTGTTTAGAGTGGATGGACTCCGCTGCACATTGCAAGCTCCAAGGGATATGTCGACGTCGTGCGGTATCTCGTGACGGTGATTCCGCTGGAGACCACCACAAATGTACGACCGATCGTCGAATGCACAACGTGATTCAGTCGGTAGCACGGGTCGACGGCGCTGCATCTGGCAGCAGCATACGGCAAAGCGAACGTCGTGCAATACTTGTTGTCGAAGCGAGCGCCCGTGGATGCAGTCGATATGGTACAGCCTCGAGGTTGACATGCGCGGCTTTAATTTGACGTGGCGTTGCGTGTAGAACGGGTGCAGCGCTCTACACGACGCGTGTGCGAACGGTCACGTGGACGTCGTGCAACTCCTACTCGCCAACCACGCCGGGATGAACCTGCGAAACCATGTACATTCGAGCCGCGCTTGCCTCGAATACAGAATCCATGGACGACTCTTTTAACTAGAACGGCCAGTCGCCACTGTATCAAGCCGCCCAGCAAGGACGAGTTGGCGTCGTGCGGGCGCTTCTGGACCACAACGCTGCCATTGGGATCACCACCAACGTATGTCCCATCAACATTTCTCGAATACGGTCCTGACAAGCGCCGTCTAGACCGGATGGACGGCGTTGCACGACGCGTGCGCCAATGGCCACTTGGACGTCGTTCAGGTGCTCGTGCCATTCATGGACATCAACGTTCGCACACATGTACGAGGCCTCTCCTTGACCATGTATTTGTGTTGACTGGTCCTTTAGGATGGTGGGGCCACTCCACTCTATGTGGCCGCTGGCAACGGCCGCCTCTCGATCGTAAAGTACCTCCTCGAGCAGCGGGCAAACCCCCTTGTCGCGTCCAAGGTCCGCCATTTCTTCTTGTTCGTGGAACCGCTGACGACGACTGCATCAGATCGGATGGACGCCACTCCACTCGGCATGCTACAATGGTCATGTCGATGTTGCCCAAGAACTCGTGGCTTGCATGGGCGAAGGCCAGCTGAATTTGGCAACCAAGGTTGGTCAAACATCGTTAGCTCCTCCTTCTCAATCCGTCTCTAGTCTGGTGCCACACCAGTGTACGTGGCAGCTGGGAACGGCCAACTCGCCGTCGTTCAATACCTGCTCGGGAGCTTCAAGTCCGCTATCAGCCTCACGTTTCCAAACGTACGTGTCGGCAGGTGACCTACCATTGACGCATGAGCAATCTCTCCAGGCCACGTCAACCCCCCTCCACCGCGCCGCGGCGAGCGGTCATGCCGATGTTGTGTCGTTCTTGGCCGAACACATGGACATCAACACCCGCACGTCGGTAAGCGCGCTTGTCATCGTGACGTCGCTCGATCCTGTTGCGCGCGAGGGCATCCGATTCACATTTTCACCTAGGACGGGCAAACGGCCATGCACAAAGCGGCACAGTACGGCCACGCGCCGGTCGTCGCAGCTCTCATGCGCTGTGGGATCAACTACGAGCTCGTTTCGCACGTACGTCACGCCAAACTGAGCAAGGCGTGCGTGGGTTGACGTGTGCATTAGTCGGGGTGGAGTCCTCTGCACAGCGCGGCGTGGGGCGGCCACTTGGACGTGGCAAGGCTCCTCGTGAACCACATCGACGTGGACATTCAAACGGACGGTGGAGCGACGCCGTTGTACGTGGCCGCAGGGCGCAACCACGACGCGATGGCAGTGTACCTCCTGGCCAAGAACGCAAACGTAACGTTGCCTACAAATGTAAGCACAACCACGACGTAGTCGACGACTCACGGATGCTGTTGGGGCGGCGCAGATCGGGTGGAGCCCACTGCATGTGGCGTGTTCTCTCGGGCACTTTCGCGTCGCGCTACATATAGCGGAATATGTCAACCCTCGGCTGTGCGGCAGCGTACGATTCGTGGCACAAGGCGGACTCGGTCGGCCTGACACCATGTTTGTCAATAGCTTCGGTGGAATGCGTCCAAGCAAGCGTATCTGCATGGGACCGCCGACGTGCGCTGCGCGATGGAGGCCAAGATATCTGCAACCCTCGCCATGAAACGCAACGTTGTGCCAAAGTACCACATGCCGACGAAGGAGCTATTTGACGATGACGACGAAGAATGGGAGCGCGGCAGTGAACTGACGACGGAAGGCACAATGTACTCGCTGGACGAAGTATGCCCGTCGTCGATCGGTTTCCACGTTGTCATCCTCACGCGATGGAATAGGATGGATTATGATGAACCCCGTCGATGCGGCGGCAATGCATATTTATTCCCGACATGATATGAACATGGAAGCATCACGCTCGAGTTCTCTGTTGTTCGCTACTTCAAGCATCACGCATCCAGAACTACGCTGCCAACGCACACCATCCACCGACGCTCTATGGACCCAAATTCCTCTGCGTTCCTGTATCTACAGCAGGACGGAGCTGCACACGGCTTTTTTCGGGCCACCGGAGACGGAACAAGGACGTGTGAAAGATGTGAATACGAGGTTTTCTGGTCAGGCTCGATCGACCTGGCGCTCGTGTGCGCGAGTCCGTCGAGGACGTCAAGCGCCGACCGACTCGTCGAACGCACCACGCAAGTGGTGGACATCCTTTCCACGAGCCTCTCGACTCACAACCTTTGTTCCAGGGCTAGTTGAGAGCGTCGACCTCGCCACGAGCCATTACATCTTTGCACAACGAGCTCAACGAACGTCTTCATGGGGTTCCAAGACAAAGGAGTCGTATGGGGCGACTGCGCGGCGTCACGGACCGCGGCGCTGGATTGCGGGTGCTTTCAACGAGAAGTCAATATTTCAATATTTGAATATTCAACACGCGCCAGAAATATTTTTTGCCATAGACGGTACAGAGTACGTAAGGTATGGTGCGCGAAATAATTATTTATTTGCTCACATGAAAATCTTGGTTTTGCGGAGAAGTCCTGACAAAAATTGCAGACAAATTCTGCTAACGTTAAGTTGAATTCCTTGTGAGAGCATTCTGGAAAATTCAGTTTCAAACTTCCCTGTGAAAAATGCTCTGCTATAAAGAATATTACTTTTCAGATTACAATTTGCAGAATGGACACCACGATGACCATCATGGCCATGCTTGGGCTGATGGCTCACCTATCCACCGAAA